AAATGTATTTAATAATATTATCATAGTTAATTATATTTATATTTATAAAATATTGTAATTAATGCAATATGAGAAAAAAATAATCATTAATTACTTCATTTTCTAAATGTTAAATATAATTAATACAATATAAGAAATATATTTAGTGCTCCTACTCTACGCAAAAAAATTATTTCTAAAGAAGGATACCAATGGTTTATACAATAGTTTTAAAAATTGGATCGGTCATTAAATCAGGTAGTGTACTAGATCAGCGGGTCAAATGTTAAATCAATGAATTACTAATAGAACCGGATAACCTGATTTCTATTATTTTTTTTAAAAAAATATATTCATGTTAAATATATTTTATACTCATAAATTTCAATAAATTTATATCGTATCTTAAATTTTAATTTTCATCTTATTTAAAATTATTTTTATTTTTATTTTATATAAAGAAATACATGAAAAATTGCATATTAAACTGTATATTAGTATAAATTAAAAATATAAATAATATGTATATATATATATGTAATATCTATATTATATATTATATTATTAAATATATAATTTAAAATTATTAATATTCTATAAAAGCTATTTAAGTTACAAATATTAAAAACAAATACTTTAAATTTCTTTTTAAAAGTGATGAAAAACATTTTTGTAGTTGAACTGGTTTGACCCCCGATATACTGGTTGAACCAGAAAATTAACCAATTCACTCTGATTTGTACTGGATCGAATGCACAACCAATCTAACTCAAGACTCATACTGGCTAGATCACTGATTCCTAATTCAACCAATTCGACAGGCCGAGCCGACCCGATTTTTAAAACAATAAATTATGCCTTAAAAAAAATGTGTATCACTTAGGTCCACCCTTAATTTCAAGTATCAATGTTTGCTTGTTGACAATGTACCAAAGCTACAAGTAACGTTCCATTCTTCAATAAAAAAATAAAAAATAATGTGTCGTTCTACTTCTTTAAAGGAATCAATTATATGCTAAACACAAGAGCTTGGCAGGGACTTTGGCAAGTGAATTTGTTCAAATCACAGGTATTTTCAAATTTCCATTTTCCTTTGAATTCATTTTTTTAGTTTTGTTAAAGTGGTATCTTTTTATTTGCATGAAGCACAATTGAACATTTACAAATAACCTTAATATGCATTACTAGTTTTCACACAACAAACTCTAAGAAGGTAGTGAAATGGTATCATGCTGAAAAAAGAAGATTTTTTTGACTTTTCTAAAACTTCTCAATCCCTTCTATAACACTTTTTTTTATGCGTAGTTATATATCTATTAGGAATCTAATAAGTCTATTGGATAAATTTAATTTTCTCAATTTGTAGCTTTGATCTTACAGAAAGGGAATCAGTGAAAATGATGACAAGGAGCAAGAGTATGAAGATGAAGAAAAAAAGCCACAACCAGGGAGAGGAAGACAGACTTAGTGACTTGCCTAATGACATTTTGTTGCATATAATGTCATTCATCAAGATACAAGATGCTATTAGAACATGCTTTTTGTCAAAACGCTGGAAGAATTTATGGAAATTCCTTACTAATCTTAAGTTACATTCCATTGATTTCAACAAGCATCTTTTTTTCTTTGAATTTGTGTCCAAGATCATACTCTACCGTGATTACAATCATTCTCTACATACTCTTGAATTTGATCGCTATAATTACTTTAAATCTGAGATTATGGCAAATCTCATGAACTATGTTGTGTGTCATAATATCCAACAAGTGAGAATCGTTGTCCCATTCAATGTTGGTTTGCCAACACGTGTTTTTTCTTGTCAATCTTTAAAATATCTTAGTATTTCATCTTCTCGGTATTATAAGGACAAAAATCCCCAAGACTCTCAAACTTCCAGAATTATTAAGTTTGCATCTTGATAATGTTCCAATTTCAGCAGATGAAAATGGTCAAGCCAAACCCTTCTCGAACTGTAGGAAGTTAAACACTCTATCCATTGATAATTGTAGTGTACTTTATCCTAATGCTTTTGTCTCAGATGGGTCAGAAATCCTTATTATAGACAATGTCACACTTGCCAATTTGACCATGAACTGTACTCTTCATTACAAAATTGTGATATGCACACCTAATCTAGGTTCTTTCACTTTTAATGGTGCTCATTTCCAAACATTCCATGGACAGGAAGGGGTGAATATTGAGATTCAATCTTCATCATTGGCTAAAATCAACCCTTCCAAATCTATTCAGGTAACACACATGTATGAAATAAAATATACTTGTTAAGCATTTTTTCTTTCATTGTTCAATGAAGTGGTTTTGGTTCTAATATTTTAAGGTATCTAGTAATTGACCTGACTGTTTTAGAACTTTGATAAAGTTAGCTATTGAAGCAAGAGAAACTTCTAGTAAAATGCTTACTGCTAGGAGATTAACGAGAAAGCAAGTATGAGTTTCTAGATTCATAAAATCTTACTCTTGCGGTATGAAGTGTTTCGATGTTGGTAATTATTTGTAGCATAACATGCATATTAAAAATGTTAATTAAATTCATAATCCATGGAAATACCTTTTGGTTAATGGGTATTCTTATGTGCATTTTGATTCAAATTCATGTGATACAGATTTATTATTTTCCTTCTCAGTTGTTAGCTTGTGTAAATAAATATCTTATAATTGAGGAATATTGGTAATGAAAGTGAACATCAGTGGAAAATGTGTTGTAAATGTAGCTTAGGCTTGAACATAGATATTTGTTTTAATTTGATGATGAAGTGAAATACCGAAATTGTGTTTTTTCTTTAGTAATAATTTTTAAAAAAATATTCTAGGATGTAGAGGTTAATAAGTAATGAATATAGTATTTAATTTTAATGCATTATCTTGTACTATTCTTTTTTTTTTTATGAGAGGGAAATAATTGATTTTGTGCAATTTTCACATGATTTTATATTAATTTCATATTACTATCATTGTCTAACAAAAAAAAAATGTATGAACGACTATATTGATCACATGCAGTCTAAATGAAAAATATATTTCTTATTTAATTTAAAAATATATAATGTATAATACAAAGTTATGATTGAAAAAACATATTTATACAATAAAGTTACTATCGAGTGATCGAGGCCGTACTCGGTCAAATAAAAATAGTTAAATGTAGTATTAGGAAGCTTTCTTAGGTCGTCTCCTAAGGACCATTTATCTCTGTCAAAGGTTCAAACACAAAGTGGGGGGTGTAACACCCCGATTTCACAGATTATATGAAGGCTCAAAGCCCAAATTAGGATGATTTAATAGCCTAGAACAGACCGTTCCAAACTACTAAAATGGCCTATAAACCCGAGATTGGAACAGGTCATTCCAACACTAGCTATTATGAGTAAATTTTGGACCCAAAATGGGCAGTTCCAAATATAGCCGTTGTGAATTAAAACTCATCTCCTGAACGGGCCGTTCTGGTTTGAGAATGGACCATTTCAGATGTGAATTTTCCACATGATGAAAGGATCTAGAACGGGTCATTCCGGATCCGAAACGGGCCGTTCTGGCCACTCCTGAAATCTATAAATAGAGCACTCTGGCACTATTTTTGAACACACTCTCTAGAGACCAAGGAGAACCAAGAGAAAGAGATCAACCAGATTCCGCTCTAGCTTCGCCTTTTGTTTATCTAGGTAAGGGGGGAGTGAGAAACTTTGCTCTAGGTGTGGGAATGTATGTTGGGTAGTGGGTTGGTCCCCAATCCTATGTTTGTTGTATGCTCATTTATGAGGAGTTTTTCCCAATTATATATGTTTCTTCTATTTGCTCTTATTATATGTAAATAACTGTCTGATTTGAGATCTTTATGGGTTCCTATGGGAAACCCTAAGGGAATGCATTGGTGATTGTAAGAGGTAATTGTATGAGTTAATTGTACTATTTTAAATGTTTATTGTATGAATTAAAGTGGTATGTGAGTTCTTGTGGGAACCCTATGAGAAACAGGAAAATTTCTAATATTTTTTGTTTTACCTTTTGATTGTTCTGTTGTATCAGTACTAGAAAAATTAAAATTAGAGAGGGAACAAATCTGTCACTAAATTTTATAAAATCCTTCACAAAATAAATTAGTGACGAAATTTGTGACGGAACTGATTCTGTCACAAAAATTGGCGTCACAAAATCATTAGTGACGAAAATTTTAGTCCGTCACAATTAGTGACGGAATGAAGGCGTCACAAAAAATATATTTTCCGTCACTAATTGCTAACAATAATTGTTTATAAATTAATAAAAATCCGTCGCAATTTGTGACGACCTCTAACTCCATTGCAATTTGTGAGGGATTAAGTCCATCGCAATTTGTGAGGGGCTTTCTCCGTCACAAATTTGTGAGGGACAAAATCCGTCACAAATTGTGATGAATAGAATCCCTCACAAATTATGATGAATAGAATCCGTCACAAACTGTGATGACTAGAATCCCTCACAAATTGTGATGAATAGAATCTCTCACAAACTGTGATGACTAGAATCCCTCACAAACTGTGATGACTGGAATCCGTCACAAACTGTGATGACAATAATCTCTCACAAACTGTGATGACTAGAATCCGTCACAAACTGTGATGACAAGAATCCCTCACAAACTGTGAAGGATCTGTCACAAGAACAAAATCCGTCACAAACTGTGAAGACTAGAATCCCTCACAAACTGCAAAATCTGTTATACACTACTATGATAAGTGAAATCCGTCAGTTATTATAAAGAACTTTTTTTTACATGAAGAATATGTTTTTCTCCTGTAATTGTGATATAATTTTTTAATTATGAATATAACGAATAATTTATTAATTAATCAAAAAATTGAATTTATTGTCTATTTGTTTGAAAAATTAACAAAATAAATAACTAGGAAAATTTTCTCAATTCTATAAAAGCATGTAACTAAACACGAATATAAGAAAGTCAAGCATACCATATATACAAATAACACCAAATATAAGTTTATGACTGTAGCTGATCCCTAATGTATGATAAGTACTATAGTAAAACTTAACATAACAAATTATAAGTTTAAAGCATAGTAAACATAATAGTAAAAGATAATGCATCCCTAAACATCTATATCATGATCATCATCTAACTCATTATCATCAGATTGTACAGTATCATGTGTAGGAGGAGGTTGGGGAGGACGAGAAGATTGAGAAAACATCTCCATAAATTGCTTCAGTTGCTCACGAACCAACCAAGACTCTTCCTGTGAAGCAAGAATCAAATATGCATGGCTTTGCAACTGTTCTTTCAATGTTTTGTTTTCTTCAGACAAATTTGAAACAAGATTTTTCATTTGTTCATACTCAGGAGTTGAGAAACCATATAAGAATGTAGAAGAAGAAGGTTTATACTTCCCAGCCTCTGAACCTAAACCAAATATTCTTCCTTTATTGTTCACACCACCAACAACATCATAGAAAATACTATTTTCAGATTGCACACTAGAGGCAACATGATGTCCCGATAATTGTTGTGACTGTCTTTCAGATAACCGTCTTTCATACTCATTCTATAAAAAGAAAAGTAAGAAACAAAAGTATATAAACATTAATGACAATAGAAGATCTCATGAATGTCATGAATGATGCAAAGAATCATGCAAGAAGAACACACAAAAATACTTAGTAAAAAGTCTAAGATGTAACTTATGAGCAACATGACTAGATAAGTATGAATTCCAATGAAATTAGTAACTTGTAAACCTAAATGCAACACCACATACACATGAATCTCATTGAATTTAGCAATTAGTAAACTAAGATGTAGAGATGGTGGCACTTCACATTACATGAAACTAAAATTGAGCACAACCAATAAGGTGAAATGATTCTATGTTGACATAATTCAGTAAAAAATTCAAATCATATAAAAAAATTACATACTATAAATGGTATGGCTTGAAATTTTGAGACCATTAACTGTAACCTATCTTAATATGTCAAGTCGACAGTGAAGGACGGAACATGACAACTTTCACAGTACCATAACCATTTTTGAAACATAACCATTGTTGTGTCTCTAATATAACCATTGTATGTCAAGTCTTGCAAACATAATCATTGTTATCTCTCTAACAGAATCAATCAACTTCTTCATAATTCAATATATACAAAATTATAACTTACCACTATCCTTTCTGCCTTGGAAGACACCCATGTATTCCCGTTTGCTGTCTTATGGGTCTTTTGGAATAGGTCCCAACATGTTGGAGTCATATCTGTAGAAGTAACACTTCTGAATTATGATTGGAATACATCCCCCTATAACTTCTATGTTAAAAAGGGATCATGACAGTTACCCAATAAAGTGCTCAAGCAGAGTAAATCTTCGCATAATTTTTTTCAAACTAGTCCTCAATTCAGAGATATCTTCAATCTAATTGAAAAATCGATTATTTTTTCTAGTTCTCTATTCTTGCTCTTTAACCCTTCGTTCTTATCAAACTTCTAACTTAAATTTGCTTGTGCCATAAACTTCTATTTCTACAGCAAGTTGAGGTTATAGAATACGTACATTAAAATCCATATATGAGGCATGCATGGAATGTGACACCCTCTACCCCAACATACATATACAATAAT